GAAAAGTTGATTTGGAAATTCGGAAATTTCTTAAGTAAGCTATGTTTTCTTCCTCAATTAAACATTGTTCGGCTTCATCAAGACTTTGTGGTTTTTGTGATCGTATCACTGTACCAAAAGGCTCGCTTAAACCTGCTAGTACTGTTTTTAGTGCGATTTTTTCATGTGATGTATTCAGTATTGCTTTTTCTTGCGCGTTCAAACTATTATCTAAAGCTACGCTACTTCTCAATTTTGTGAGTAGGTCTTCAACTCTCTGTACAAATGCTCGAGGTGTTTCATTTGTTTTCTGAAATGAAGAAGTTAAATCTCTTAATAACCCTTCAGTATCTCTACAATCTCCGTAATGTCCTATTAATAATATTCTGATTTCTTCCCACGTTTGTAATTGTCTGCTGGAAATGAACCTTTTAGCCTTTCCTGTTAATTTACTTTTTATTATGAAAGTCAATGCGTTTGCTTGATTTTCATCTATTTGTTCGTTGACAAAGCTACAAGCTTCTACAAAGTCATGTAGGGTTGCTTGATCACCATCGTATTGAGGTATCATGTCTCGTAACTCTTTTAAACTGAACTCGTTATTTTCTCCCATTTTGTTTGTTTTTGTGTTTTTGTGTTTTTGTTAGTCACGTGTCGATTTTTTGGTTTTTTTTGGGTTTTGGATCTCAAGGATTTTTTGAATCTCAGGGATCTCAGGGGTGTATGCAACAAATGTCGATTTGAATGCAAACTTGTACTTACAGAGCAAATACGAGGAGAAGGAACTTCATGCGGCTCGTTTCACTTCTGCTGGGGGTTGAAGTATGCTGTGCACCTTCTGTTTCTTTCTTCAAAGCGAATCCGGGGGGAAGGAACTTCACGCTGGCCCGTTCCGTCTTTGGTTTTTCTTCTTGTTGTTGTGGTTGAATCTGGGGGGAAGGAACTTCACGCTGGCCCGATTCTGTCCACTTGGTTTGTTCCGACACGAACTTGTTTCGAGAAAATTGTTTCAGTTCTTTGGTTTTTGCTTTGGACCCGGCACGATTTTTTCGGCACTTTTTTAGATCCGTCACGACTGCGCCACTTTTATGTCTTCGGGATGAAATCCAGTGTTTTAAAAAACTTTTTATTTCAATTACAAACGATTAAGACATATGGTGAATTTCTTCCGAGAGCTTCTCGTACTTGGATGTTTCGTACTTGCTGTTCGAAAGAGAATTGAAAATATCTCATTATGAAAAGATTCGCATAAGGCCTAGACAATGAGCTTTTGTTACTTACGCGATAAGAATAATCCAGTCCAGGATGCTCTCGTGTATGTGACATGATATTTATTACAAGGTTATTTTATTTATATCCATGCAATAGAAAAAGGAATCATAATTATTATAAGTCCAGAGGGTATCTTCATATAACAGGTATGTTTAGAAAACGGTCGCGTCCAGAATTCTTTTGTTGTTTATTCATCAATATAATTGGCCGAAAAATTGCTGTTTAGTGAAATATCATGTGTTGTGATAGACGAAATAACAATGCCTTTCGAGTGTTGTGTTCCCTTTTGTCGGAGGAATTATGTGGGTGATCCAGAAGTTCATGCTTTCAGTTTTCCGTTGGACAAGGAACTATCGAAAAAGTTGTAGCGTCTAAATTTTCTGAATGAAGTTTTGTTTATAATTTTTATACATTCCTGGTGAATATCCAAGTAGATATATCATCGAGATGTAAATTTTCACACAGAACACTCAGTCAGATAAATAATGTTTATACCTACTGAAGTTCAATCATTCGATGGCTATGGATTCATATCACACACCTTTCATATTGAGAATTATCATATCAACTTTTTCGATCATCCTCTGATACTCAGTACACCTGTAGGAAGTGTTGATCAAAGCTGAGGCTTTCCTTTCTGATCCAAATGAACAGGTTCTGAGGTTGAAGAGAGTCATTGCCAATGATTTATAAAAGTTTTTCTGATCTGGAATTTGAACGTCAATTAGTTTTCATGTAGTTTATATAAGAAAAAAACTATGACTTATCTGTGGTGTTCTCCGACTATGATGAATGAATGTGCTTGGCTATTTCGGGAATCATTAGGTTGAATGTTCTTCTAGAACGGTCCCTTTTGAAGAATCTGTTTGTTATTTTTTTGGGATTTCTGTTATTGGAGATAGGTTCATTCAACAGGTTGTATTTCCGTCCAGAACGTCACTGTCAGATTGACATACTTCCTGAGTCACCTGTCCTGTCAACGATGTCGCTGCACTGGTGTAACACCAGTCGGACAGAATTCATGATGAAGGTGACCTTCTAAAGTCGGCAAATTAGAACAGGAATTTCCAAACTACCACTGGTGTAACACCGGTCGGACAGTACTCTTCCTGGAGGTGACCTTCTATGTCTTGTATTTTCAAGATGGATTTGGGGATTTTTTCTTCGTCAGATTTAGGGAGAAATTGAGGTTTTGGGATAATTTCCGGTCTCGTGGCTTTTGCCCACTGGCCATGACGAGAGGCACTTGAAGATTTTTGCTGGTGCAACAAGCAGACTTAAAATCGATTTATATCGATAGCCCGTATGGGGGATTTGTTCAAGTCAGTCTTTTGAGCCATTGATTCTTTTTCAACGTCCATGATTTGAGCCAAATTGATGTCGCCACACGGGAGCAGCCCTATTGTCACCTGGAGCCCTACCTCATGTCTGCTACTTCAATGACACCGGTTTAGCCCTTCTGAGAAGGTGAGTCGACAGACAGTGATTTTTTTGGATGAAAATACATCTATTTATGGAAGTTTTTTCTATTTTCGACGTGCTGTGACCTGAGTTCAAATGAGCATGTTTCTATAATAGGGTTGTAGGATAATGCTAGAAAAGTAGCTTTTTCTGCTGTCGTTGATTCCATCGAGGACCCCCACTTTCCACTAGTCAGAATGCCCTGGTACTTTGGCATTATCGACGCCACGGATCTGGACTAGAGGAGACTGCGGATACCTCTGGGTTCGACCAGAGTGAGCCAGAAGCCAATCTGTCGTGCTTTAATCCGTGGTAGCGCCAGGAGGAATACCAGGGGGAGAGACTGCGGAGTTCAGCCCGGGAGATTTGTGGAGGAGCCCCCCTTTGTGTTGGTGCTGTTGGCAGTGACCTATGCTGCCCATCCTGGGAAATGGACCGTGATCGGGGTGATCTTGATCTATGGAGAGGCTGTGGTTATATCAGGTTTTTGTTAGGGAATTTATTCATGTATCAATCATTCAATATTTTAGGGAATTTATTCCAATATCAATCCTTTAATACCTTAAACGTAAACCCCCCTGTAAGGCCCTCTCATAGCGCTATGCGATTGACTCCTTTGGTGTGTTTTTTTGAATTTTTTCCCCAGGTAACTATTGGTAGATACTGGTCTACATCTGTCTTTCACTATATAGATCATGAACTTGTGTCCTGATAGTTATACTTCTTGATTTGTCTGATACTCAATTTCCATCACACTTGAAATCGCAAATATTTCACTAGCCTCCTCACAGGTCCAAATGTGCCTTGTCTGTTTTCCAGGAATTGAATAGGTTTCAGAGAAATTCTGCATTTCATTTATCTAATTGTCTGCTATCCACAATCTAAGAAAATAATACATCTGTATCTTCAGATTTTCACTATCAGATGAAGCATTTGGTTTTCTCAATTATCCAAATTGAAATCTTTTCTTTAAATTGAGTGGCGCCCCTTGAAAACTTGAATTTGAATTCCTCTAGTTCTACCTCGAACTCACTTATCTGTTCTCTGATGGAGAGCTGCCGTCAATTTTTTTTGACAGTTTCAATATTGAAAATAAGAGAAAGGTAGGTTACAAAGTGGGTATATGCAATTCCCCGCGAGGATTTTAAAATCTTCGATGACATCCATATCTTCAATTCAAAAGCAGATTCCGTAAATTATAAAAACTGTCATGGTGCGGTGTATTTTTGGTTGCCTATACCACAATCATTTGTTAATAGACAAATTGATCGTTAATAGGGGTAATTTACGATTAATTTCATGTATATTTCAAACTTGTTAATACGATGTCGACGGAAAATGTAGTTACAAAATGATTCTGGTTATTTTTGTCGTATATAATTGACTAACATACATACCTTTGGGTTCCAAAGATCGAAAGGAACTATTTATAACCTGCTACAGGATGATTATTTGAATCTCAATGATGGAGAAGTTGCGGCAGCGGTTTTTTGCGATCTATCTGAAGCGTTTGACAGTGTCAACCATGAGATCCTGTTGAAGAAATCAGACAGGTATGGCTTCAGAGATATAGTTCTGAAGTGGTTTCAATCGTACTTATCAGATCGTACGCAAAGCGTGTCTCTTCAGAACGAACTATCGCAACAATTATTGATCAAATGGGGAGTACCTCAAGGATCAGTATTTGAACCAATTCTCTTATTATTCTACATAAATGATCTAGCCTCGATGAAGAGTACGGGAAAGTTTACTCAGTTTGCAGATGATACTACCGTTCTTTGGAATGATAGAAATGACGTTATTAGTAGTAAAAGCAAAACGAAGATTCTTGGCTTGTACATTGACGAAGAGTTAAAGTTTGTGGACCATATGGATGTTTTGCATTTATATCGATGTTCATCGATATTCATCAATATTTATAGATTTTCATCGATATTAATCGATATTTATCGATATTCATCGATATTTAACGATGTTTATCGATATTTATCGATATTCATCGATATTTATCGATATTCCTCGATATTTCTCGATAATCATCGATATCCATCGATATTCATTGATCCATATTCATCGATATTCATCGATATTTTTCGATATTTTTTTATATTTATCGATATCAATCGATATTTATCGATATTTATCGATATTTATCGATATTTATCGATATTTATCGATATTCATCGATATTTATCGATATTTATCGATATTTATCGATATTTATCGATATTTAACGATATTTATCGATATTAATCGATATTTATCGTGTTGCTTGTTGTAGATCGAGCATGGCTGCTGATCGTCTAGATCTTCTTGTTTTCGGAGCCACAGGTCTCACAGGAAAACACGCAATCTCCTTCATCCATGAAATTGCCAGCTCAAGGTCACTTACTTGGGGCATAGCAGGACGATCAGAGAAGAAAATGAGAGAACTCCTCCAGCAAAAGGAAACCCAATTAGGTATAAGTGCGTTCGAATAAATGAGGTGGTGAGCTGAAATTTCAATAGGCAAGAATATTGAGAGAAGAAGCTCTACAGGGTCATCACGACTAGCTTACAACTATCTCTACATCGAGAGTCAGACGCAAGAAATGTATGAAAATTTGCATGCTTATATTTTTTCGTAATCCCATATTGTTTTCTGATTTAACGGTGTTCAGATGACACTCAATATACGCCTCCGCCACCGCAGAGGAGTTCCAAACTTTAAGTTCTTTCACCGATAGGAGATCGCCACCATTTTCTTCAAGCATAGTAGCCGAGGATCTGCGAAACTAGTGCCCTGTGTAGAGCTGACGATTTTCCAATTTTGAGAATGCTGCAATTTTTTTCGGAACAGCTCCAAAAGTATGAATGCCTACAACTTGTTTCACACATTTACCATTCCCATAACCAATGAAAAATCGCCGATTTTCCAAATCTGAAGACCGCAAATCTACGTATTTTCCGTCAGGCAACAAAAGGAACTTCTTATATGGAAATGACGAATGCCCTGGCCCTGTGCTTTTCGTTTTTAGTATACACCAATGTAACCGAAACTTTCAGAATCACCCACAGTCAGCTTAACAAGTTCGTCACGTCTACAGGCACCAAAAATATCACACATTAACAAAAACTTTTCAAGCAATCAATTCTGCCTCCAACAAGAACTTAGTTACTTATCAATTTATCAGACGAAATGTTTGCTTTCTTTGGTGTGTATCCATCAGACTTTCGTCTCAAGAACAAACATAATTTTCCAAATCTAAAAATACCATCGCTATAAGTAATATACTCTGATATGATGAACCATTCAAAATAACTAACCTTGAAATGTCAATGTTGTCATAAACTCTCGAAGCACGTTTCAACCATACATTGAAATCTTGGTCCATAGCGAGTTAGAAGAATGATTTTCCTTTCGTATAGGCTAATAAAACATCTTCATTAACATCTTAACATTCTTGCTTCAACGCCTCTCTTCAAAATCTCTATATCCGTTTCGATATCGCTCTTGAGTTATTTTTGGCAGTGAATCAACGCTCGCTGCACATGATTCTCTTAATATTTCTAAATGATTTTTTTTTATCCTCAATTTCTTCAATTTCATCCTTGGTCGATGTTGAATCGAACTCGCGAAGACAAAAAACTGACATTATTTGTAATATTTTCAATAATATTTTCAAGCTGTTCCACGACAATGCGATGTTGGGATTTTTCTGTAGAAATTATGAGGTTTGTTCTTTCCTTCAAATCGACATCAAATCTTTCAGCAGGATTACGAAGAATTACGAAAAGTCTTGAACGACATACGCAAATTATAACAAAACACTCGAGCATGAGAAATAATTAGGGATGGGTAAGGGAAGAATCCTTATAACAACTAGCAAATTTGTAATTAAGTTGTTTAGGAGAGGTCTTGATGTACAGTGATTGTCAGTCTTACTTTCACTACGGAGGGCGCCAGAAATATTCCTTGAAGTTGTGACACTTTGAAAACTATTTCAAATTTATATGTTGCAAATGTGGGAGAGCAATAATACACAACTTTTCAACAACAAGAGTAACAATTTAATCAGTATGTTAGTTCAGCTCACAATCGGTAATTTCGACTACAATTTTTCAACCGGAGTTAGAAAAGTTAGTTAAAATAATTTAGTAATTAATCAAGAAATTTAAACAATTCAAAAATTTTACCAAAAGCTAATGAGAAAAAACTAGGAAGGCTGAATAGGATTGAAAAGATATACTGCTGTTTAGTTTGACACCTTGAAATTACTCTGGATAGTGGTCAGAGAATACCTGGTAGCTTCCACACGGATTCACTCCTGTCTCAAGACTGGTAGAACAGGCTTCCTTCACAGATATACCAAATATAACTGCTAGGTTGATGATCTAACTGGCAACGTTGGTAAGGCTCTAGGACTAGGCTTTTCAGGCTACCTTCAGAATATCGAAATCAGGTTTCTCTTCCCCAAAAAAGAAACTGGTGAGCTGGTGATTGAGCTGCACACAGGTCGTTGGTCTTCTTCAATTGTTGTTGTGTCTCACAAGGTGTGTCATGAAATAAACGTGAAGCAGTATGAGCCAGATTCAGAGGAAAGGACGCAGGAATGGAAGAAATAATCCAAAGTGATACAATAACTAACTATGGATCCAATAATTAGAAATTTTATACGAACTCTATATAATATGAAATGATAATGTATGTAAGGAAATATATAATCTACAAGAAAATAAATTTATAGAATCGATTCTATGAATTATATTCTACAATTTTTACAAATTTTAACTGAAAATCAAAAAAAATAGTTTGACTAATTGAAATTTATTGAATGATTGAAATTGCTGTGGTAGGAAAAATTGTACTCTCAATATTTTTTTCAATTGAAAGAAAATGACTAATGACAGTAAAAAATTACTGATGATGAAAAAATTACTGATAAGGATACAAATTATGACCATGGACTGAAATGGTACTAACTTATTATATCTGTTACTCAAACAAATGTTCAAAGGAAACTTTCCATGGAATAGCAAGAATTGTCTTAAATCAATTGGATGAAATTGATATCACTCAATATGTGAAGATTCTATTCAAAAGAGCGAAGTAATTCTTCAAAGGTGAGAAAAATAATATCAAAATATTGATAAGTAGGTGAGAAAATAACATCAAATAGTTGATAGGGAATTTGAAAATAATTCAAGATAAGGAGGCACTTCAAGAAAAGTGAGGAAATTATATCAAGAAAATTGATAACTAGTGAGAAAAATTCACATAAAGAATTGCAAAGAAAACAACTGATCTCAAGACAATTTCTGGTATTCTTGGATCAAAATTGAGATCACTGAAATAATAGGAAAGTTATTTCATATAAAAATTATATCGAAAAGATGAAGAAATATTTCTCAAGGACAGCTCAAGGAAGTCAGTTAAAGGGTTTGCACTTTGAGACAGGTGACCATTACATAGCCGTTAACTTGCAGTGTCTCGAAACGTAATAACACAGTACAGTAGTGAATCAGGGTTCTAGCAGAAAATACCACCGGAATGAATTTCAAGCCCTTCAAATGTGGCAATTAGCTGGTACTATAACCTACAAATAGGCAGTAACTGTACTTGAAACTCTAGATGTTGATGCGCACTACCAAAACACCGATTCAGGCCTGCGAAGGACAGTTTTCTGACGATATAAAAAAATGTGAATAATTCACCAAAAACTCTATGAAATATGCTATACTGAAGAATGTGAATAAAAACTTTATCCAAGATATTATAAAAATTCTAAATAATTCACCAGTACAAGAGAAGAACTATAATAAATGTATGTGAATGCCCCAATTATATGAAATCTGTAAATACTTCACCAAGAAAACGATATGAACCCTAGTAAAGAAAATCAGTGAGAAATGCACGTTATGCCAACAGGACGGACAACTACGTCCGTCGTGTGGAGTCTCACTTATGGATATGATCCATGAAATTGTTTGATCTACTAATGATTGCTTAATAAATTGAAAATCCACTCACCTTACACTCAGCGTAGTACTTCAACAGGTCCTTTCCTGGTTACACACTCCTTGGGTTCAAATTCTCCAGAAATCATATAAATGAAAAGCACGTGCAAACTAATACATTAACGTTGAGCGAAAGCCAGGCAGGAATGATATTTAATTCAAAAAGTTATGTGCTAGGAACATTCTGAGAACTAAATGATCGTTACTTAAATCATAAAGTCAGACATGTGCGACCATGCCTGATCTGGAAAATATTTAATTTCCCAAAAATGGCAGGAAAAGAAAAAAATAACTAACAAATTTGCTACTGTACGAGAAACTGCAAACAATTAACAGCTAGTATTCAGACAATGATTGAAAATTAAGGAAGTGCAAAAGGGAATGGTTTCACCTGTCTCAACTCACAAAACCTTCAAGTCGACTCTTCCAGTCGAGAGCCAAATCAAGAGAGAGCCAAAATCTTCAATTCTCCATCATATCGATTAAAAAGAAAAAAGTTTTTTTTATATAAATTTGATGTTTACTTTTTCCAAATATCATACTCTATCTGATGAAGTGAGATGGACAATCCTCCGTTCACCAACCCAACAAATAAATTATGTTTTGACACAGAACACGAAACCAAGATGATAGATTGACCACAGAACATAAATCAAACTCATGGAACTTGCAGATATTTCAAGCAGTGGGAGTCATTTGCCTGGTAAACGTTAGCAATCTTGAAATTGGAGATGATACTTACGGTGTCACAGAACTATTGGCGATAGTGAATGATATTTGTGGGTACGGCACTATCGGACTAGAGGCACTTTTCGTTACGGATTCGGTTGTAATAATCCTCGGCTGCACATCGGATAACAAAATTCTGGCATTCTCTATAGGAGGTCAACTGGATGTTTACTCATTGCCTACGTAACTCATATATGGGAATCTTCATAGAATGATTTTCTACTTAACTATGCGTTCTTCTATCGAGTTTTCTTACAAACAGATCTCCATATGGAGTTGAACACTGATTCCATAGCCATCAATTCCGGGACCCATTTCGCCTTCTGGCACCACCATCATTGCTCCATATTAGTCGAAGGGTGTAGAAACATTATCCTTTTGAAAACGCTAATTGTATAGGTATATCTCACCAACCTCTGAAAGGTTGGAATCCAAACAATCTCAAACATCAACCAACTGAACCAAAGCTCACCGCTCACAAGTCACAAGACACAAATGGCGGACAATCGTGAATCTTAATCGACCATCTGAAACCGAAACCGGAATTCGTTGTTGGATGTCTTACATAGATCGTTAGATTCCAGTGATCCCACGAAACTCGAACAAGGTATGATAAATACAAATATTTGCTCAAATAAATAAAAAAAGCTCGAAGTCATTTCCACACAATGTTCATAAAATTAACAACAATGGTAGATTTCGGGAGAAGAACAACTATAAAACAACGTATAAACGAATACTGATACAAGTGATTCTTTCCTGAAAGCCTATTGATTTCGATTTAGCCAGGCCACGCTAGACAACCACAGACCGGTTTCGAGCTTTTTGACTCTCACCAGTGAAGTGTAGTCTCCAGCCAGCAGTCCTAAGACCGCCCACTCAGCGAAGCCTAGCCAAACAAAAATCAAGTCGGCATAATATTCCCCCAGAGGCGTCTTTCCTCGACAATATAAAAGCAACGCCATCTGAGTAAAACAGAAATATTTGCTTGTTCAAGTTGGTCTTACGAGAAGAGTTTCTTTCAAGAAAGTATGATTTCAACTTGACTTTTGGTGTGAATAACATCATCATATATCTTGATGAAGTGACGTGATGGGTGCGAGATATATTGATATCACTTCAAAAAAAGAACCGTGTCAGAGTACCTACCATATATAGGTGTCTACGTAGGATCGATGAAATTGAATATATATTGATACCTACGACACGTCTGAATACAAATTCGATATCCTGATGGCTCGCCTGATGGTATATACACCTATAGGTAAATGTGAAGTCGATTTTTCATAATGACGCAAAAATGTCGTTAATCTGAGGTCGTAACAATGACGTTCCAAATACGTTGGAGGAACGACGCCCTAAATCACGAAGTTTTTTCCAATATGACGCCGAGGACAAATAATCACCAAAAGAAGACGTCAAAATGACGTCAGCTTGCTGCCTGGGAACTTGTTCACTACAAAAAAGGTACTCATGATGAAATTCGATTACTCCCATGGTTTCGACAAAATTTCAATTTCATTAATTCAAAGCATCAGTTAATATCAAAATGTGTGTACCGATATCTTAACGGTGAAAAAAATGGATACAAGCAATTACACCCCAGTACAAATTTGCTCAGTCTGGGCGCTAGACGGCTCTGGCTTACTCAGTACAAAAAAAATCAGCAAAAAATAGCTCATGCCACATTACAATTCTTTTCGTCATGTTAGTTTTTGTAAACGTGAGAATGATAAACATTTTCAACAACTTTTGAAAAATATCTGTTAATTGTTTCAGTGTTGGCTGATGCTTTGAATTACTGAAATTAATATCTTGTCGAAACCATGAGATCAATCGAACTCTAACGAGTAACACAATCCAAATGTCATAGTCAAATCCCTTTTTTTCCATTGGCGTAGAAGTTTTAGATGTACATTGACTGAATGGAACCAATGGAATGATATTCATCATTATCATGATATTGGTTTCATTGCCAAACGTACCAAATTTAAGTGAACTCTCATGAGCCCTTCCAAAGTTATGAAGCAGAAACGATTCGAAAATTGTAACTTCAGAGCTGTCTAGCACTCAAACTAAGCAACTTTGTACTGAGGTAAGTTTGCTTGTATCAGATTGTTTTGATCTGAGGAATATATGGCGAGTTTGAAGACCTTTTAGGAATGCCTTGTATATCCTTAAAGTTTTTTGCGTTTGAAAAAAAAACGTGATGAGTTTTTCAGAGCAAAAGCTCATATCATTGAAATTCTCATATTGAAGCCAGTGTACCAAAGTTATCTCCAAATGGCGGGTACCTACTACTGGGACACTTTCAACCTTGGAGTGTTGGTACATCGCCATACAGTTATCAAAACAATCTTAATTTTGTGAATCCCATGATTATTTGAGAAGAAAATTAAAAACCGTAACAAAGTTTCCCCGGTCTCTTTCTTCTTTCATGATTTAACATGTCCATTACAGGTCGTGATTTATCGCGCATTCCGGTCATTGTGGCAGATATCACTAACGAAGAATCGCTGTTGGCCATGGCCAAAAAGACCAAGGTGCTGCTGAACTGCTGTGGACCTTTCAGATCCTTGGGAAGACCTGTAGTTGAAGCCTGCATCAAGGCTGGCACTCATCAGGTAGATGTGAACGGCGAACCCCAGTACATGGAAAAACTTCAGCTGGAAAAGCATGAGGATACTGAAAGAAAAGGTTAGTTAAACACAGATTGTCCAATGGATATCCAATTGAGGTATATACTCAGTCCATATGACCTGCCTTACACCGTCCTAATTCTGAATAGAGATGACTGGTTCATCCGATAGGAGGAACTAATAAGAGCAGATAACTGCTGGCGCACGAACGGTTCAAAGACACCCACAAGCTCCTGCTGCGGCTGTTTACTTACTTATTACTTATTACTCTATCTAGACTGCTAGTAGTCATATCGCAGCAACCCGAAGATGTAGGGTCAGTTGGTCGCCTGAAAACCCTTCTGCTCAACACGCAGGAACCCCCAAGCTGTCGTGCATGATTTTGACGTGGTATCGAAGTCAACCAAGTATTCAATTTGTTCATAAGCGTCATCTCAAGTGTTTTATTCATATCGGTGGTCTACTTGATGAAAATATTATATCCAAATTAAGAGGTGATATTACCTTTTCCGTCTTATTATCGTCAATCATAGGAAATATGAGGTGATTTGTTCTTTGGTGAATAATACCAAACCAGACTTGATTCATGCATGTTTTGTATATTCATTCAGCTGTGAAGAATGTGAGTTCAGGCGTGAGGTGCCATACCTGCTCAACTATTCTGGGATAAAAGTTCACCCATTCAATAATGACTCAAGAATTCCTATGAATAAGAGAAATGAATGGTTTGAGTCTCTCAGGAGACCGTTAGATCTTCGCCACTCGGGAATAATATGTTCAGACTATTTCACATCAGACAGCTTTCTGATGCTTCCAGGCAAGTTCAAGACATTGAAACCAGCACATGCAAATTCACCGTTTTTGAAATATAGATCTCAAATCTTAGTATTGGACGCTATGTAAACTGAATACTGCATATTTCATTCATTTCTCACTAATGTCATGTAGTATATCTTAATCAATTTTTCATTCATCTGAATTCGAAAATAATTATTTTTATAAAATAACGTTCATTTCAAATCCAATGTTTTGCATGACAGGCATACCTAGACAGGAACTAAAGTTTCCTATTACAACTAATATTTCCATAACCTGTATGAACTCAGATTGAACGTAAAATACATTGATTCTGAAACTGCTGAGATATATAAATTAATATACCATCAGAGGGGGGAATATTGGTTGGAGTAGTTTGAATATGAAAAATAGGAAGGAGTCTACTTCGGGGGTAGAGCAAAGCCAAGCGAGTAAGTAAATTAAGTCTATGGAATTAGTACCCTCAAGGGGGGTATAATATTTTGGAAAGGTCGTCATAAATACATACACGACACTACTTTATGTACTTATATGGTTTAACAACCTTCCATAGTAGACACCTCCCAGCTTTTGCCTTGGATACGCTTATGTTCCTCGAGTTCATGAGTCAGTCTCACCCTGAGTGGCTCACCTTTCCCCTCATAGAATTGGCTGTCTCTAGATAATGAACCATCACAACTATAACATAAATGTCCTGAATTGTATAGGAATGACTATTACGAGTTACCTATACCAATCTCTAGAATGGTATTGAATTGTTAAAAAGACTGTCCGCAATTGAAAGACTCAGTGAATTGTTTCTGGTCAGGATTCCTGGCCAGTCTGGTATTGACGGTAACGAAACGGCAGATTCCCTTGCAAGGGATGGCGCTGCAAGTAGTTTCATTGGACCAGAACCTGCCATTCGCATCTCACCAAGTAATGCTTAACATTTACTGAACACCTGTACTGCAAGAATATTTCAAGACTTCTGGCAGAATATACCTGGATTGGCTCGTTCGATTTCGAATGTTTTTTTTCTCCGAATAACTTCTGACAACCAGAAACACGGCAGGGTCTTACACCAAGTACTTGAAAACCAAACACATGAAATCACACAATGAAAAAACTATAATATGTCGCCCATTATGATTGACACACATCTCTATTCGCATCTGAAATAGGTTTTCTGTTGCTCTCAGACACACAATGATGAAACAATAATGGAATTACGAATCATAGAGACAGGGATTGTGGTATAGTTTATGCGGAGTCAGTTGAAAAACTTCCGTTTTTAAGGACGATACGATGATTTGTTGATTCGCTTTACATTGGAATAGGAATGAATGAGATATTTTCTACCGAGCTTTCCCGGTATGCAGCCTGTGCAGTTAACGTGGACTGGACGAGCGCTGTCATGCTAGAAACCGCGTCTCATTGGTTACTCCTAACTATATTGGATGTTGATTGGTCAGAGTTGCATGGGCGGCCTCCTGTGTGATAAGAATCTTCTAGCCTGCGCTAGGCAGTGCGGTACGAGCTAGGTTGTCTTCATTGGTTCAACCCGAAATTCAGAAAATTTATTATTTCAATCATAGTTTGACACTCATGACGTTGTTCAATACGGTTGGGTAGATGATAGCAAAAATTGTAATGTAAGTGGTCCGAGTTCGAGCGGCAAAAGGATTATAATCCTTCACGCCGGCAATGAGAATGGATTTGTTGACAATGCATTGTTATCTGCCAAAAATATCAAGCAATCCTCTGCCGATTATCACGAGGATATGACGGCAGAATTATTTGAGAAATGGGCAGAGCAGCAGCTTATACCAAATATTCCAGAGAATCCAGTCATCGTTATGGATAATGCGTCATACCATTCACGTCAACAAACGAAAATGGCTAACGTTATTCAATTTATGGAGAGAGAAGGCATTGAAATATCTCCTGAGAAACTGAAGAAAGATTTACTGGAAATGATCAGGAAACAAAATTTCCCAAATGAATATGTAGTTGATGAACTCTTCGGAGCACACCGCCATACTGTCTTACGTGTTTGCCCCATATTACTGTGTTTTTAACCCCATTGAGATGGTCTGGGCTGCTATTGAAAGCAAAGTAGTAAAAATAACCAATCACCGCTATTTAGCGGGTCAGTTTTTTCCACCATCAGGACAATAGTTAATGTGATAAACGAGAGTGACATATCGAAGAATTGTGTATCTCATGTAATGAAAAAAGGAAATTTATATTGTATGTTACCACGTATCAATCCAGTGATCATTAGGGTAAATGAAGATTCAAGTCATGAAGAGTCCGATAGTGACTAGTGATATATCATCCATTATTTGTGTACAACATTTACGAGAGTGGTGTGTTGTGAATCATATATTGTGATTATCATAACCAAAGTGTGAAGTTTAGAATAGTGATGTGGACATGTGTAGTGAAATTATGTGAAGTGTAGGAAAGTGATGTGACATGAAAAGTGAAACTGTGGAACTGTACCCATTTCTTATTTCATAAAAAAAAATCTTTTCAGAATATACCATTTATTTGCGGAGAATTCTCATCAAGTTCAATGTTATTCATATTTTATTTAGTTGATTATTCTCTTCGTATGATTTTGAACCAATCAGAACAACGTTCAATTGAGTAAGTCACCATGTTTAATCTCGAATATACATGTATATTCATAGAGTAACTCTACCAATGAGAAATTCAAAATTATTGGCATTTCCATAGTACTTATCTTGTTCATATTGTTACATACATATATTGAAGTTCCTTATACTACTGATGATTTTTATTGAGTTTAATGTTTTATTATTACTTTATTTATACTTAATACGGTTTTTAAGTGTGATGGCTGAAACTTCAATTATAAGGTGATTGTTGATGAAACTAGAGTGCCTCAAACATCTCATTTTACGCTCTTCAGAGTTGAGTTAAGACACGCTTGTCATGTTGTTTAACAGCTTGACAAAAAACATGACACAAATATGGTTTTTCGTCGACCTCTAGAAAAAATCATATTTTACGTTGTCCGAACGAAAAACCGACTACTTCCAAAGGCAAGTACTTTCGGTCCGCAGACAGAAACTTTTCGTCTGCAAACACTTCTCATCCGCTGCAGCGTTGCCAGTTCTAATGCGTTTTCAGTAGATCTCCTGATTTGCAGACGGATCTACTGATCTACTACTGAAACATTTCATAATCTACTGGAGAATATTTTGACACTAAATTATTGTGATAATTACCTATATTATCATCAATTGCTAGTTAATCACATACACTTATAATTTGCATGATATTTCGGCACGCTGTGTTCAAAGTAATTTCACAAAATAAATAATAAGTGTACATATAGGTACTAAAGGATATGTATAAATCAAAAAAGGGCAATACTTCATTAGATTCAGATCGAATTATAGTTATAGTAGTAGATTTCAGCTCCAGGTTGTGTTGTCTCCCGACGCGTAGCGGAGAGAGACAACAAACGATTTCACAGGGGTGGTAAGTCCTTATGGTGGACACACTGTATACTCTGTATTTTGTGATATTTGTGAGTATTCCTGAATTGAGAATAAGGAACATGAATTTTTGTATCAGAATGTATTTTTTTTTTTTTTGGAAAGGTTTAGTGAAAGTACATACTTAATGCTTCGACGTCATAGGTTTATTTCATTATCCTTTCTTGAAATTCGTATAGCATTGAATAGATCTTAAACAGATCTGTTGAAATCCACTAGATATTTGACAAAGTATTTACTGATGGAATTGAAATCGAACTGGCAACCCTGGTCCGTGCGGAGAGTGAGTTGAGTGTGACAACAACTGTCATTTGCTGTTTTCAAATCAATTATTCACGAAATCCGATCGATTTCACGTGTGAGAAGGACCGTGATGTGAATATAATGTTTGAGGTCGACGAAAAAATGTAATATGCACTTCAGCGAAAAACTGTCTATTGTCTCACCTGATTGCTTGCCTCGGCTAAGGCCTCTGCTATCAATTCGCAGACTCGGCTATGAATAACTTGTATGAGAGATGGAATGCCATATTTCTGTACCCATCCATTGAACAAGACATATAATTGTTTGAAACCCAAACAGCGGCGTAACACCAAAGACTAATGATGCTCATCTCGTAGTGTTATCAATATTATATCATCGAATGTATTTCAACGTCTCAAGTCTGAGAATGATGACAATTCAGAAATGTCAGTGGTGTCAAGCATATCCTCACTCTTTTCAATAAGGGTATGAAATGAGATGTGCGAGGCACTCTAGATGAAACTATTTACATACATCTGACAGGTGTATACATTTTGAGCGCTTGCGGCCTAGACAGTATTCCGTGCGAATTGGCGATACACCACCTCCAAAAGGAGTTCGACGGAGTTCTGAACTCCGTCGTCACCTATTTCGAGAAGGAACAGGAGGGGAAAAGGCTTCCTGGATGCGCGGCCAACTACACGACGTGGGCATCTTCGATAACGGCTTCATCGAAGTGGGGCGAATTGAGCAATCTTAGGAAGAAATTGTTCCGAACGAAAATGCCGGATCTGCAGCCGAAGTTACGCAAGAGGTGAGAAATTGTTTTTTCGGCTACCGTCCAGAGAGTCCCAACTTTCCGAACGCTTTTTCTTTGAGAAAGTATCTTTCTGTTCTAGTCCGGGAAGTATATACTTTCGAATCTTATTATGTTGTTATTACGAAGTTGAAATAGACTTTCAAGGATATGTTTTCCTTCTTTCGGGACCTGAAGAGTCCCGTTGATGATGCACGAATTCAATAATAGCTGATAATAAGAATAATAAGAAGGATCTGGAAACAGGACGCAAAAGAGGCAGGAGGCAACAAATAGTCCGTGCGGAAACATCTTGATCTTGACATTGTCATGAGTGTCATATTTTTGGTATATTTATGATTTTGTTAGAATATTATGAATTAACAGCATTAGTATTTCATTGAGCAGGTATTGATATTTTATTATTAGTTGAGTGAGTACATCGTTTCTTTATCATGAACTGAATGTTGCTGTAAGATACACTAATAAGTCGAGTACCAAATGGCTCCAAATATGTTTAAATTACAATATTTGATGTACTGACACAACGTATATTTTCAATTCAAAATTGACATCAAAACTCAAAGTCAAAATCCTGCCAAAAAATAAATAATACAGGGCATAAAATATGAGGATAATAACAAGAACTGGTTCATCTTCAGAATAGCCCTAACATTCTCCGCCCTCGGAACGACTTTGTCAGGTTGGGTTCAAACACGTTGATGATGTCGGGAGTAGAATTCATTTTTCGTTTTTATTTGCGCTACCCTTATGACACTATCTTCACCAGGGTGAACTTGCTCGACTTTACCAGGAAGCCATTCATTTCTTGGCATTTTCTCGTCCACCATGAAAGTCACGTCACCAATTTTGATAGGTTCAGTTTTACTATGCCATTTTTGTCTCTGTAGGAGCGTTGGGCGATATTCTCGAACCCACCTTTTCCAATAACGATTAGCTAAAGCTTGCGCTGATCGCCATTGTTTTCTACTCAGTACTTAATTTTCGTCATATGATCGAACTCCACCTGGACGCAGTAAGAGAAAATGATTTGGAGTGATAGCTTCCGGTTCTGTAGGATCTACCGAAATGTGTGTCAGAGGCCTAGAATTAATCATATACTCTGCTTCACAAAGTAGTGTCAATGAAACTTCCTCTTTCCGTATCTTCATGAATTTCTCCAATCCGGCATGCTACAAACATTGGGAAACGCCTGGATTGAGATCGTATCTGCTTCAAAACAACTAAGGAGTCTGTCCAGAAATGAATCTCGTTCACGGTATAATCCAGCTCATTTCTTATTGTTTTTGCAAATCTGCTTGCGAGAACAGCAGCCTGAAGCTCGAGTTTAGGAATTGTCTGTTGATTCAAGGGAGCAACTTTGAACTTTGGAGTAACAAACGATGTATAGATTCTTCCTTCTACCTCTAACCTCAGATAGGCCACAGCTGCATACGCCTTGTCACTTGCGTCGCAAAACAAATGAAGATCAACCTCCTCCACGGTGACATTTTGTCCATTTTGTGGAAATTAATACCTTGGGACGACTATTGGCGATTTTTCTTGAAGTTCTCCAAGCCAAAGTGTCCATAGAACGAACAGACTCCCAACAATTTCCATGTCCCAATCAATATTTGATTTTCAAATTTCCTGCATTAGTAATCTAGTCTTGATCATTAATGGTGCCAGAAAACCGAGGGGATCAAAAATGGACATGATCATCCTAAGAACTTCTCTTTTGGTCGGTGTCTTGATACCATGCGTAATTTCTGGGGGTATATTTTTCAGGTTCAAAGAGAAGATGAAGTTATCGTCACGCGAAGACCAAGAAAGACCTAGCACTCGTTCAATGTTTTGGGAATCTATCACCAAGTTGTTGTCTTGAACAGTAGCTCAAAGGTTCTCAGGAATGGATGATATAACTTTTTCAGAATCACTGATCCATTTTGTCATCTCGAAACCACCTTGCGAATGGACATGAATCACCGATTTCACTCTGTCGATGGCTTCTTCTTCCACTGTTGCAAGAGTCCAGGTAGTCATCAACATAATGTTGCCGCTTCATGATTCGCAAGATTCCAGGATATTATGATTCGAATTTCTCAGCATTTTTATTTTTCACGAATTGGGCTACTGAAGGAAAAAAAATGGAACCAAAATCATAACATTCATCTGATATACATCCGGTACTCTGTTTCGATCAGTGCCGCGCCATAAGAATCGTTGAGCACTTCTATCATCTTCTTTAATGCAATGAAACATTTCTCTGATATCTCCATTGAAAGCCACTCTTCCCTGTCGAAATCGCCACAATACTGACAAGGGATGGTACGAAATCTGGGCCTTGTAAAAGAAAGTCGTTGAGGCTCGATCCATGGCTCCTCGCAGCTGCATCGAAAACAAGTCTGAACTTTTGCGGTTTGTTCACATTCAAAACTGCAAAGTGAGGAAGATACCATGTTTTCGGGGTGTCTATTATTTCGTCGTCTCTCAATTTTCTTGCGTAACCCTTATTTACGTATTCTACTATCTTGTCACGATATTTTCTCGAAAATTCTTCATTATTTTCCATTTTACGTTTCATGCATAGGAGGCGCTTCATGGCATTTGGGCGACTATCTGGTAGAATATTTTGATATCTCTTCCATAAATGTCCTATTTCATATTTGCCTTCAATCCTTGTCAATGTCTTCTGCATCAATGTTACTGCTTTTTTGTCTTCAACAGATTCGATCAAGCCGTCCTGTAACTTCACACCAAAGGATTCCAAACGGAAAGTATCTTCAACAAGAATGTGGAGTTCTTCATCTTGAACGTTTTGACAGCACAAACTTATATGAGCAGTATCGTTTGATCCATTGAAATCGATAGCTCCATGGATGGTCCACCCCAGTTTAGCTTTAGACATTATCGGTGCATTTATTCTTGGTTGAATAATTTGTCTCGGTATAATCAGGCCACAGTTGTCTTGACCGATCAGAAGCTGAGGTTTGATGGACTCCAAAATATCGCGGTTCAAATAAGGATAAGGCACAAATTATCAACTGTACGTACTTGATTCATCCTATGAATCCCAGAAGATGTATTTACAGCTGCTATTTCCGGAGAAACTATTCTTGACTCATCTTCGTGATGTGTCATTCCATTAGTCCTTTGGTAGCAGAAAGGAGTGATAGTACCAGAAAGTCCGAGTCTGTCAGGCAACTCTTGTTCGATCATCGAGCAAGTTGAACCCTCGTCAAAGAGTGCGAAGATAATAATTTCTTCAGCTGGTCCATGGAGTTTTACTGGTGCAACTCTTAGTAAAACCATTTGATCTGCTGATGTAAGGTTCGCACAAGTGCCAAGGTTCGAACTTGTTTCTCGTTTCACTACTGGTACTTGGTCAATGTGAAGCAATTCATGATGCTTTCCCCTGCATCCATTCTCTTCACACCTGGACCTTTGATGAGAACATCGACTCGCCATGTGTCCCGGTTTAAGGCGAATGAAACAAATTTTCAAATCTTAGGCAGTGGATCTTCTTTCCTCAATAGGTTTTTTGATGAAATCTCCACACTCGAAATTTCTGTGATTATTTTTTTTACAGAAAAAGCAGATGGCGGCTACTTCTTCCTCATACCCTGTTGGTGTTGCTGCTTCTAGCTGTAAATGAATTACTGATGGACGCCATAAGGTTAACTTCTTCCTCGAGCCGAGCCAACTCGAAAAATCATCCAAAGAAACTTGTTGACCCTGGTTTTCGAGAGCATTTTTATTCTTGCCCCAACCATACCTCTGAATAAGAGGAAATTTGTCGACCAAGTTTGATAACATCTCGGGATTGAAAAGATATACTCCACAACTGGCATTTTTCATAGACGATACCATATTTGTCACAGTATTCGAAAACGCAATATAGGATTCTAGTTTTTGTCATCCTTGATAGAGCTCATCTTTTTAGCCTTTTCCATTAAAGACAAGACAATCCACTCTGCTCTATCGAAGTTCATTTCCAACATCTTGATGATTCTGCCTACATTTACTGGAGAAATCAACAAGGTATTCACTGTCTCTCTAGCTTCACCTATTAACGCTCTGTCTAAGCGCAGCAGGTTTTCTTCATCAGTTAGACTATACAGTTCAGTAGTACGTTTAAACTCACTTATAAAAATGGGCCAGTCTGTTAATTCTCCTGAAAAATGGCTTAGATCTCTAATATTTTGGCGAATCAATAATTTATTCATAGCAGCAGTATTCTCCATGCATTGTTTTTACATCATTCATGAAATTACTGTCTGCTTTTCTACATTGCCTTATTCCATCTGAATATTGACAGAATAAAGAATCCACCTGATCACTAAATTGACTTGCATCACGTGTTTGTTTGCTTTCGCTTCCATTTTATCTGTCAGAGTGTCTAGAATCGATATTAACACATTTTTCGGCATCATCTACCCATCTATCCAAAAAAGTGCTGCTACCATATAAGCTTCCAGAATTATCCGCTTGACTTCAGCGACGTGAATCAGTTTTTTTAACAGTTTCTTCTGAATATCCATTTCTTTTGCTAAATTTTCACGCTTCTTCTCTATAGCTTTCAACTTTTCCTTGGCTATCTTCTGCTTTTCTGCTGCTTCTTCTTCATCGAGCTTCTTTTGCATACGAAGCATATCGAGTTCAAGATTCAATTTACTAACTTCAGATCGATTTGGAAATTCAGACCCTTTTTGTGATGGAATGGATGGAATCCTCATCGACGTATTGCGGAATACAACGTCAGACCTTGTTTCCCTTCTAACAGATCCTGCATTTTCAAAGGAAGTTCCCACTCTCTCCAACAGATTGTTTTCAGATATTTGTCTCCAAGATGAAGCCATGTCACCTTTTAGCACTCAAGCCGCAACGACGCTAGAGTAGGTACATTTAAATCAGGTCTCTTATCCAATACAAATTCAGAAAACTTTCGAGGTGGTATACCTTTCTTACATCTGCTGCTCCTGCGACGTTGACTTCCTACTTCTTCGATACCTGAGTTT